GGCGAAAGGATGCGTGAGAGCGGAAAATAAGATCAATTTCGCTACGCGTTCACCGATCGTGTATAGCTGAACCTCTCTTTTTCTCTCTCACGTCATCGTCATCGTGTCCTCGTCGTCGTCGTCGTCGTCGTCGTCGTCGTTGGCTCGGTCAACCGTCGAGACTTTTCGCTCTTGTCGACTCTACGTCGCGTATTCCTGGCACGCCGCGGAAACAGCGGTGGGTTTATTTTCCGCGGAAAATCACAACGTGTCCGGATAATGCCGGTTATCGCGTGGTACGCTGAATACAATGCCTCGGAGTACGGAGAGAAAGATCAGAAGCTGCCTTGGCTCCTGTGTCGAGAACGCCGTATAAATGTGCATTTCCTGCACACAATGGCAAGCTCGCGTTTTGGGCGTATAGCGCCTCCGGCAAAAAGATACATAAGAAAACGATAGGGCGATATGGGGACGTTTATTTCCAATTTGAAGAAACGAATCTTTCTCGATGGGGGTTTCGAGCGAAAATTTAAAAATCAAGAATGATTTAATATAATATGTATCACTGTAAACGGAGATGTATTCTTATAAAACATATACAGATAAGAATAGAAAAGTATACACACGTGAGATTCTCATACGCGGAATTCTCCAATGAACCGTTTCTGAACAATCGCCATTCGCATCGCAAGCAAGGCAATAAATTCAAATTTTATTGAATTATACAATAGGAGCCAGGAAGATAGTTTAAACTACACGCGAACGCTTTTACGATCGGGCAGCGTTGAATTTCGTGGGTTGTTGCAGTCGATTTTATATATACAGATTCGTATCGCAGAATACAACGTTTTAAAATAATCAAACCTGACCTATATCGATATTTTCGATTTATTGTAGTTAGTTGTAGTTATATATTCGACAGAATATATCTGTGATAAAAGTGTATCTCATTTTTCGATCAATCAAAGGCTATAGTCTATAACATAATTATTTACAGTGATAATTATTCCAGAGATATATTTTTTTAAATTGAATTTCAATATTAAAGACTACGGTTTAAAATAATGATTATTTCAGGAATATTTTTTTTTAGACAAAGTATGTATATATTTTAATCGGTTACTTTAAATGTAAGAAATTATTTCAAGCAATTATTCTATATTAATTATTCTATATTAGTTTGAATAATTTTACTACTCGTGGATTTTTTCCCCCCATTTGAAGAATTATTATCTATCTCGAGTTTAACTATAATAATGTTTTAATAATTCAGATTTAATTGTTCTTTCAATTAATCTCGATTATATTTGTCTGTAATGTACAAACGCAGAATTATACAGCGCATTTCTATCATGCGCAGATACATGCGCGAATTCGCATTCATTATACCCGGGCGTGTATGATCAGTGAATCGCATGAATAATTTTGCGTGTCGATTTCACATTGGCATTACTATCAGATTTCTACCTATGCGTTTTGATACTCGTTAATGATTCATTCAGAGTACGTAGCTGAAACATTTCTGTACAGAAACATTAGGTAATTAAACAGAGACTTATTCTTTACGGGCTTATTACTTTACGGGCTCATTATATGTACTTTTTCATTAAGCTTTTCATTTCGCAATGAAAATACTTTTTAAAATCTTATTATTTTTTATTTTTTTTAATAATATTATTAATACCGTATTTTGCGTGTGAAAATGGAAATCGTTGATCGTTATGGCAAATTGCGCATATTTACCTACCGCGTTAAAATATCTATGATAATGTTTATTATGCAGAATAAATATATATATATATATACACAGGGTGTTTGGAAAATAATGATAAATCTTTCGTTTAGGGGCTAAACTGAGAAGAAAAGTCCTCTACCATTTTATAATTTTCGTAATAGTACAAGATATGAATTGCCGAAAATTGGTCTTCAATAATTTTTTACTCAAATACTACTCAACTTTACAGAAAAACTGCAAGAAATGAAAATTGTTTATTTACTTCACATAGAGCTCTAAAAATTTTTTTTAATTTTTTCAGAATTTTTTAATACTGTATTTTCTCATGTTGGTAAAAATGAAAAAATGCAGTATTAAAAAGTTGATAAAAAATTCTGAAAAAATTACTAGAGTTCTATGAAAAAAAAATAAACAATTTTCGTCTTTTGCAGTTTTTCTTTAAAGTTGATAGTATTTGAGTAAAAAATTATTTTATGAAGACCAATTTTCGTTAATTTTTAGCAATTAATATTTGGTTAACTATTGCGAAAATTGCAAAATAGTAGAGGACTTTTCTTCTCAGTTGAGCCCATTCTGTCCCTATACAAAAGATTTATCATTATTTTCCAAACACCCTGTATATTTTACCTTCCTATATTTTATTCTCACATTAAACTTTAATGATCAAACTCGTTGATCAATTAGTGCACTAGTTTATGATTCTAAAACTCCTGTACGCAGAATATACGGATTTTATGAAAAAGAATTATTAACAAGTGAAATATGAGTGACTGATTTTGAAATATTGTTCAGAAATAAATTTAGGCCCTTGTTATCGCAATCATCAATTCTGTTTGTACTAAGATCCTCCATTAGCCATACATGCTGCGTTAAGGGCAGTACGTTGCGCATGTAAATTGCGGTTTCACCAGCTTTGCTCAACGTCGGATTCGATACTCAGGCCGGTCCATGTTATGGTTAGGCTAGTCTTAAATGTGGCAACGAAATTTCTGCCCCCGGTTACGCGAGATTACGCATACTACACATGGATATTACGTAGATCTAACGCACGCTATACAACAAATATTTCGATACATGACAATGATTAATATTTCAGAGAAAATTGATCGCAGACAGCAATTCGAAAAAGCATAAAATAATCAAATGGAGTAAAATAATAAAATAATCAAATAAAAATAGTAAAATAGTAATAAAATAATAATATATAATAAAATA